AGGTCCAGAGCAACCTACCTGGGGAACCTAAACAAATGGTTAACGGGGAAATATGATGATGATGATGATGATGATGATGATGATGAAAATGTTCTCCTTTCATATCCTTTCGAACTCTCTAACAATGTTCAGTGTCCAATTTCTGCCCCTCACCTCCTCACCTCATTTGTCCCCTCCTCGGGGCTCCTGACTCTTTCTGCAGCCTTTCTACTTCTATTTATTGGCTTTTTCTTACTGCTGTCTTTCAGCCACACCCCCTCTTATGGTAGGCAAGATCTAGCACAAGTGTCTTCTCGGATAAGGTCGAAAATCTCGGAGGACCGGTTTGTAAGTTGTACACGTTCAAGATCCCTTGGTTGTCCAAAATAGAGTATCTGTCAATGATTATAAATCACCAATCAAGTATTAAAAAGTACTCAGACTTCAGATTAGATAAAACGGTTATGGAATTTCTTATCCCTACCACTGTCAAAGGTAAACGTGCACTTGTCAGGGGAAAGTCTTTTGGACACATGTGCTCTAAAAACTCTTGTCGAGATTTTAAAAGTTGAAAAAAGAGCAAGAACAGCTCGTTATACAGCTTTTGACTAAAACAGCCAAAGATGCATCTCACAATGATAGAGTTTTTTACAGTCTCTGTACAGTACCCGCGACAGTGACCAGGCAAGAAATGTGGGACTTGGTTAGGTTTGGTTTACGTCTTAATTAATCTCTACCCCCTCCCCTTCCACATCTACGTCACCTTTTACTGCACGCCCCCCCCTCCCCATCAACTTCCGTTCTTTTGATCTGAAAAAGAATCTTAGTTACTTAATTATCCTAGTCTTGTTGCATGAATTATCAGTTCACGTGTTCTAAGTAAAAGTTCTGATACTGGCACGCTTGTTTCAAACCTCGTGGTTTATCCGCCAGATTCACCCCCGCCAAATGCTCAGTGATGGAAATTGATACCCCAACATTCTTGCGTATCATTAACTTTTGGACATGCTTTTAGCATAAGGGCTAGAGTCTTTGCATGACCTTCACAGATGGTTTTATCTGGGGTAAAAATTATTCTCATTGTAATGCACACAACAAATGAAGGCGTTTAGGACCACCATGTAGAACGGAAGTGTATATTAATTTTTAAAAGGCAAATAATTCCCCCCGAAAAAAAACCAAAACCAACAACAAAGCCCCCCACAAAACAATAATTAGCTTTAAGCAACTTCCATCCCAGTTCCTGACGAAGGCTGTTGTGATCACGAGAGGACAATAACAACATAGAAACGTAAAAAAGCCCAACTGGAAAAGAAGCTGGAAAGGGCAATAACGTATCTGTGGCCGGCTAGCCTTCTCCAGTTCATTGATTAGCATTGTCGAGTGCGTCGACCGTTAGATTTGAATACTTGGCCTCCAGATGCCATCTGGGATGTTTTGTTGCTAATATTGTCTTGCAACGAGTATTGCTAGCCATGTCATCCCACACCCGGCCGACTCAATAACAACGCCAACAAAAATGATATTCCTATATATGTAATTCAGGTAGGAGGATTTTTATGTGATTTCCGTATATATTGGCAATTGACATTATTAAAGATAGCATGAAAGACAGATATGTAGAGTTATTGCAAAAACAAATTATGCGTTTATATCTACCGCCGTCTGCCGATGACGTTTATAGCAAATAGGATCATTGTTACAAAGATTCACCAACTTGTTTCGCCCTTTTTTGGTTTGCTTGTTGTTGTTTTTTCTGCAGATCAGCGGCGTATGTGGTGTAGCAGTTAGACATTTTGCTGATGCACGCAGAAGACTCACGTTTGATTCCAAGTGTGTGTGTGTGGGGGGGGGGGGGGGGGTTTATAGAGTATCACGCTCTTTCTGCGACACCGTTGTATACCTGCTCTCGGCCAGTATTGGCACTACTAGCAAGGAGACCTATATGATCACTATTGTGTCGTTGGGGGAGTTGAAATAAAAGCAACAGAAGAAGAAATAATCACTTTCGTCTACCTGTAGATCCACAGGTTTTTAGATAGTCTCTGTCGCTACAAAGCTTGCCAAGACCGATCTATTCTCTGTCTGTGTGCCATTCGCTAACTGCCGCAGGAAGTACAAATTCTTGAGGTGTCAGAGATAACCGCGTGAATGAAAGCATATTATGTCGGTTTTACTCATGCACTGATGAACGCACTGATAATTCAACAAAATGGAGTAAGTTGATTCTTTGGTAGTCGTTTTTTTGCCCCCAATACTATATTATTATTGTTATTATTATTTATCCTCAATGTACTAGCGACAACGGAACATCAATATGACTGTATAAACTAAAGAAATGTGAGTATTACCTTAAAAAAATCATGAATTCATGTAGTAGTCACTAGGACATAACAATAAAGTGTAGAGCAAAGGGAATATTAAAACAAACAAATAAAAAAAAATTAATTGTGGTCCAAAATCAATGGTTAAAGAAAAGTATATTATTATATATGAAAACAAACTTCTCAAGAGAGAAATA